TTTAAGTAAGTTTGGAAACAATGTCTTTATTCTACTATTTAATACTTGATACTTATTATATTCCATTCAACTTTCAAATTAAGTATTCATTTGGATAAAATGGAATGAGTAATTACATTACATGACCATGTTTCGTTAGTTGTAGGAACGAAATGAATTTTCATGTAATATATAAAGATAAATATATAATTTTAACTTTATTCTTTACATTATTTACAAATTTATAAAAGGTTAATTAAACCCAAAAGTGTTAATAAAAATAGTATTATTTTCGTTTTATAGAAAAATTAAAATAAAACTAAGTTATAGATATAACATAGGAATTATATGTGATTCACATGTAAATCATAAGTGAATCACATATAAATTACATGTGATTAACATGTAAATCACAAGTGAATTACATGTGATTCACATGTAAATCATAAGTGAATCACATATAAATTACATGTGATTAACATGTAAATCACAAGTGAATTACATGTGATTCACATGTAAATCACAAATGAATTACATGTGATTCACATATGAATTACATGTGATTCACATGTAATGACTTGTGATTTACAAGTGAATCACATGTAATTCACATATGAATTAAATGTGATTCACACATGAATTACATGTGATTCATATATAAATCACATGTGATTCACATATAAATCGCATGTGATTCACATATAAATCATATGTAATTCACAAGCGAATCACATATGATATATAAAATGACATGTGATTCACATATAAATCACATGTGATTCACATATAAATCGCATGTGATTCACATATAAATCATATGTAATTCACATATGAATCATATGTAATTCATGAGTGAGTCACATATAAATTACGTCTATATGCACACATGCATTTTGTATGAGTGTTCTTTTCTTTTATTTTCTTGTGAATTTCACATTTGAATTTTAAAATATACAATCACATGTGAATATCACATTATATAATCACATGTGAATATTACATGATATATACATATGCATTTTTGTGAATGTTCTCGCATTAATCATTTTTTTTTATTTTCTTGTAGATTTGAAAGAATTTGTGAAAAATTTTGAAGATGCAAAAAGTTATAAATTGAAGAAAAATTTGGAAATCTTGATATGAAGAAATGATAGCACTCTGAATCTTTGTAGCTTTTTTATTTTATATATTTTATTTTGTATCGAACAAAATACTTGTACTATTATGTTTATAAATTGATTAATAAAAATAAAAGATTTTTTACGATTTACTTACAAATATTATAGTATAAGAAATATGGATATATGCATTTAAAAAAATATGTATATATGCACCGCACCTAAAACGTTGATTTTTTTTTTGTTAAAAGAAATTAAATTTATATATATATATATATATATATATATATATATATATATATATTCTAGTTTTTTTTAATTTATTGATTTTTAAAATTTTACTTTTTCAAAAAATGCAATATTTTTTTAAAAAATTGGAGTTTTTATGAAAAAGTTGCAATTTTTTAACAATTTTTTTTAAAAAGCTGTTTTTTTAAAAAAAATTGCAGTTTTTTTAAACAATTATTTTTTTTTTCAATTTCTTTTAAAAATTCATGTTTTCTGAAAAAAAATTAAAAAAATCTCCATTTAAAAAAAATATGAAATTTGATTTATTATGTTAATTTTGTCTAATAACACAATGAAATAAACATTAAATGAGATCGGTAAGATTATGATCATGCTCTTAATGAAATAGTTTTGATCTAACGCTCCACTTTTAGTTCTCGGGAAATATGAGTTCTCAACCGATCTCAGCCCTATATATATATATATATATATATATATATATATATATATATATATATATATATATAGGGTCGGCCCTAGAGGGAGGACAAGCTGGGCGACCGCCCTGGACCTCGCCAAATCTCGGGTCCCCTAAAAATCACGTTTAATATATATATGTTTAGATAATATAAAAGAGAATATGCAGAAAACCACCAAACAGACTTGCAGTTGAGATAGGTGAGATGCTAGTTGCAAGCAGGAGGGTTATATGTTCGAATCTTGTCACCATCTACGCTTTTAAATTTTCGGCTTTTTTTAATTGGGAAAACTGCAATAAAGTCCCTACATATTGGCCTCATAATCGATTTATTCCCTATATATTTTTTTATTCAATTAAATCTCAAATACCGGTAATCGTATTCAATTTAACCCTTTGACCCGGTCAACAGGTCATCCAACTTTCAAAAATTACATTTTTGGCCCAGATTTCAAATTTTATTACAAATTTGGTCTAAAATTTACACTTTTGGCCTAGATTTTAAATTTTGCTACAAATTTGGTCAAAACTTTACTCTTTTTACCCAAGTTTTAGAATTTTATTATGAATTCATTCTAATTTTAGTTTTTTTACAACTTTTTTTCTCAAAGAATTGTTTCTAATATGTTTTTTCTTTATAAAATCATATTTATACAAAAAAAAACATATTTTCACTTAAAAATCTTATATGTTCTAGATAAAAACTTTTTTTTTTAATTTTTTTTATATGAAATATCTAGTTATAAAAATAAATATTTATTAAGTATATAAATATATACAAATCTTTTTTTATAAAAAAATGTATACAAAAATGTATTTTACAAAAAAAAACGTATACAAACACCTATTTTATCTATATTTTTTTTATAAAATCTTGTTTGTTTACATTTTTTATAAAAACTTGTTTGAATAATTTTTAGTATAATACGTGTTTGTATACATTTTATAAAATGTATACAAACATGATTTTATAAAATATATACAAAAACGTATTATATAAAAGATTATTTAAACACATTTTTATAAAATGTATACAAACACGATTTTATAAAATGTATACAAACACGTATTGTATAAAAAAAGTTTGAACACATTTTTATAAAATGTATACAAATACGATTTTATAAAATGTATACAAACATGTATTATATAAAAATTTAGTCAAACACATTTTTATAAAAAAAATATAAACAAACATGATTTTATAAAAAAAAAATAGATACATACCTATTTGTGTGCATATATATATATATATATATATATATATATATATATATATATATATATATATATATATATATATATATACACACACACACACACAAAGGTGATAGGTGTTTGTATACATTTTTTTTGTAAAATATGTTTTTGTATACATTTTTCATAAAAACGGTTTTGTATATATTTATATACTTAATAAATATATATTTTTATAACTAGATACTTCATATACAAAAAAGTTTTTTAAAAAAAGTTTTTATATAGAAAATATAAGACTTTTATGTAAAAATAATTTTTTTTTGTATAAAAATGAATTTATAAAGAAAAAACATATTAGAAACAATTTTTTGAGAAAAAAAGTTGTAAAAAAAAACTAAAGTTAGGATGAATTCATAATAAAAGTCTAAAATTTTGGCAAAAAGAGTAATGTTTGGACCAAATTTGTAACAAAATTTAAAATTCGGGCCAAAAGTGTAAAATTTGGACCAAATTTGTAAAAAAATTTGAAATCTGGGCCAAAAATGTAATTTTTGAAAGTTAGATGATCTGTTAACCGGATCAAAGGGTTAAATTGAATACAATTACCGGTATTTGGAACTTAATTGAATAAAAAATAAATATATGGACTAAATCGATTATGAAGCCAATATATAGAAACTATATTGTAGTTTTCCCTTTTTAATTCTCTTAAAATACAAGCAAATTCTTCGTAAATGAATAGCCTTTTTTCCGCGTCTTTTAATGGAAGCGATTTTTTTTTGTATCTTGTCATGGAAGGGGGAATATCAAGTCTCTCAATTCTCCCAAAAGACTTCTTCTGTTTCCTAAAGCGACCTCTCAGAATCGACTTCATAAACAGTAAGCAATCGAGAGTTGTAATTTGTAAACCCCTTTCTAATATCTGAATATGTATCGTATTTCTGAATCTCTGTAATATATACTAGTTCCGATTTTGAATCCTTTAGTTTTTTGTTTTAAATCTCTAATATCAAAGGTTTGATCAATCTAGACCTGGGTTTGAAACATATTCCATTGTCAAATTCTAAGTTTTGATTGTGAACTTCCGATTTGGGACTCGCTGAACTCTGAAATTTATGATTTATGATTTTGCATCCACAATTTTAGAGAGGGACAATAAATTGAACAGTTGATTGTGAAAAGGCTTAGACGAAGTGTAGGTATTGAGAAAATGTAGTAAAGTTAATGTTATTAACGACCACACTTTCACTGCCCACCAAGTGTTTGATGATATTCTGAGTTCGTTGGAACTAATGGTTTTACATACTTTATTCTCTTTTGATTATATTCTAGCTTTCTTTGTTAGTTAATTGGATGTGGATACATAATTCTTTTATTTTGAGATACTTTAATGCAAAAAACCTAATCTTATCTTTCAGCTAGCATTCTCTTGAAATTATGTAATTGATGTTGATTTACTTGACAACTAGTTGAACATTACATTATGCTATATCATTGAGTAATTCACATACTATTTTAATAAAGATTATTATGGAAACCAATATATGATCAATAGATATACTATTTTATTATGTATTGCATGTGCTTGTTCAATCTGAGAAGGTTGAAGGCAAGCCTCCAGTAGTTATTTGCTTTGGCTATCCCCATTCCAAAGATTGATTGTGTGATTTGTAGTGTTCATTCAGAATTAATTATTTCTGTATTTTTTGTTGGATCCAATTGTCACATGTTTTTTTGTTGTCAATTTCCTGAGTATAGTCTTGATGCTATGTCAAACTTGGTTTCTTTTTTTATTATTAAACTTGTTTGCTGTTAAAAAAAATTATTAAGGGCCTCATATCTTTTATTTTGCCCCGGGCCTCAAATCGGGTTGGACCGGCCCTATATATATATATATATATATATATATATATATATATATATATATATATATATATATATATATATATATATATATATATATATATTGGGTACGTATGGATCTATTTTATAACCAAAAGATATAACTCACTGAGTTTCAAGAGATTGAGTTGCAGTAGCATTTGGTTGCCCAACCAGATGCATCTATTTTGAATTCAGACACCTATGTACTGTAGGCTCTCTTTCTCAAGCATTTTCATGTGAAGGACGAGACCTTGAAGATTCCCTCTTACCCTACAGATAAAAGAAAAGTATGAAAATTATAAAATTTCATGAAGTATACAAAAGGCTATGAAAACTGATAGAAACTTAGGAGTATTTATGTTATGTTACATTTTCTTGACTCAACAGACTTAATGACTGGTTTCCATGGCTTCTTAGAGTATTGATCAATATCTCTTCCAAACTCTTGAATCAATTTCTGCATTCTTAACCTAAGAAGTAAGGTTCCTTAAAAACAAATAATATACTTAAACAGTACCTTATTTTTTTTTTCCAGAGTGTGGTAGTTTGTTATTACCATGGAAGGCCCATAAACATCTATTATAGATGATGCATGGAATGGTGAGAACTCGACCCTACTGACTTTGACATATGATGGCAATACAATATATATACGACAAGATCTCTTTAAGTTTGTTTGAACATATATGTGAATAAGCTAAATAAATGTGGGACATGTTAACAAATAAAATCAAAGGATCAGAACACGTCCATAAAAATAGAATACTACAAGGCCTAAAAGAATACAACAATTTGAAAGCATGAGCTACAGAGTCACTAACTGAAACCCTGACTTATATAGCATGCTTGTTAGAGAGTTGAAAAAACTTCAAGTGAAAAAGATAAATATTAAATTTATGTCTAGTCTAGGAGGTCAATGGTAAACACTGAGAATTGTAATCTACACATATTAAATTCTTAGCAATCTATCAATACATGGAGAAGTAGAATAACATGAAAAACTGATCGTTCACAAATACACAGTTTGAAACGGACCCTGAATTTGTGGTAAATTAACCAAAGATAGAGGCGGAGGACAGTTGAGTTCCAAAAAATGTGATGAAATTTTGGATTTTCTAACAAAGAAGTTCCACAAATGCACGAAGAATCCAAACAGAGGAAATTATCTTTTAGAAAAGATTACATATATGGTGGAGAAAATCATTTTTCCAATTATTGAAATGAAAATAAAAAAGTGGTGAAAAATGGATCGTATAATTTATAGATATATCAAGAAGATGGTACGAATGAGAAAGTGCACATGGCACCGAGAAATATCAACCTGAAGTAGAGATCTGGTCATCATCTGATGAGGACTCCCAATAGACAAGCCAACATCTTCCTATTGACCTATAATTCAGAATCAACAACCTCATTAAAGGATCAAGCTGCAACCATGATGAAGCATGTATTTGCCTTTTCGAATTCTAGTATTTCTATTAATCTCATCAAATCAACTTACAAATGTTGCCTCTAAGAGAAAGGGATTCAAATTCAAAAACTGAAGAAAATGAATTGGCGGAAGTTCAGAATCAGCAGGAGACCCTTAAGGAAAAGACAAAGACTGTAGTAACAAAGTACAATTTGACGCATTGTATGAGGTTTTGAGGGAAAAAAGAACTGAATTGTATGATTAATATTCTCAGCAACAAGAAAAGATAAATCGACTCGATAGTGTCAAACATTTGAATCGTAGATATGATGCAAATCAATTTGTTGATAGAAGAAAATTTTTAAATCCGAAAGATGCAATCAAATGTCCTTAAAAGGATGGTTCTATTATGGTTGGTAGCAGCAAAATTTTTAAATTCGATCTCAACTAAAAATATTTGAGAATAATTGCCTAAGATATCATGTATTCAATATAAAGAAAAACAAAGATAAATAAAAATCAAAACCTTGATAACAACCAAAAACATTCGTATGCTTCCACTGGAAATTTAAATAGTTAGAGAAGATTAGACAAAATTCATGCCCTTATCATATCAGCCCAACTACATTTTATTGCCATTTCCAAGCATCCATAGGCAAGGTTATTACTCCTTTTACTTTGTTATATCCTAAACCAATCAAGAAATTTGCGATAACATATTTGGTTGTGTATGCCTTGTATTCATGTGATGATAGAAAGGTTTGGGTGTCAAAAAATATACCAATTGTGCCCGGATTTCTTTGAGAAAAAGCTCTGAACCAACAGTCTTCCTTTTGTGCTGAAAATAGATAAAAATTTGTGTTAATCTTTGTTACTACAGTCGACCCACTCTAACGGATCAATACTTGGGTCGACCCCTTAAATTAAATAGAACCTTTGTTTTTTATATTTTATAAAAATAAACTCTTATTTTAGAGGTCAATAAAATATTTAATAAAAAGGACATTGACCTTGATAATTGGGACCGTCTGCAATGAATTTACGATGATAGGGAGACAATTTAATGGCAGGCCGAAAAAATCGGCTTTTGCTTAATATGTATTGTCCTGTTGTTGTTTGAAAAGGGGAGAGATCTCCACCAATTATGTGATTCCATGACTTGTAATAACCCAACGCATCTTCATCCTTCTTCTCTCCATCATCATACATAAGACTCACCCCACACTCCTTTATAACTTCATCATACGGCAGTGTAACAGTAATAGTAATGAGGTCACGAGCCTCCATCTCATTCATCCCAAACATCCAATGACTTAACAACACCCATTGACCTTCAGTTTTTCTGTCCCTGTGACGTTCGTATATCCACATGCGGTTCTTTGTTATGTTACTAATTGTCATCATTGGCGATGGAGGGAAATGATCATCATATGGAAAGAGAAACCTCTCATCAGGAGATTTCAATGTATGCAGAGAGCAGAAGTTGAGTCCTATAAGACGGTTGCTTGGAGATGAAGATGATGATGATGGGATGGTAAATGATATTGATGGCCCAGCACTTCTATGCCTAAACCAACTCGGCATCTCCCCCGCCACATACAATGTGCTGAATATTCCAAATTCGTAAAACATCATCTGCCAAATTCAATCACCTTAATTAATCACCATAATAACTATATTATACATATTAACATAAAGACAGACAGTTAGCTAGACAAAACCTGAATTTCAGATTCCGAAGAATTAGTTCCCACACTCCTATCGTTAAGGAAGTCTAAATTAGTCCAGCCCAAGCTATGTAATACCTTTTCCTCAATAGCGACCATTGGTAGGATTTTAAACATGCCTTCAATTTCAGTTTCATCCGAACTCTCCAAAAAAAGAAATACATCAAGTGGCGACATTTCTGGATCAAATGCAATTTTTTCTACGTAAGACTTATGATCTGAAAAGAGGTACAACGCTCTAAGTGTATGTGGAGGATGCTCGATTGACTTCAATTTTTTACAGTCTTCCATACTAAGTATCTGAAGCATAGGAAGGGTTCTCACACAACTGGGCATGGAATCGATAGGATTGTCATCTAAATATAAATGCCTTAACATGATTAGGCTACTAAAGTCCATGGGAAAGGATTCAGTGGACAAATTATTATTTGCAAGTGACAAACTTACTAAAGACCTCGGTAAAGAAACTGAAAACAACTTCAAATCACTTGGTATACCACCCACAAAGGCGGAGGAAGAGGTTCTTATGTTGATTCCAATGTTGTTAGCCTTGCACAATTCCATTGAATCCACATCCCTATTCTCGATTCGAGAATCACTGAGATTACAACCATCTAGCATTACTGTTTTAACATTCTTCAACATGCTTATGTTTCTTGGAAGTTTCTCAAGCTTCTTGCAATAGCTCATATCGATGAAGAAAAGTCCAACACATTGCTCAATTGATTCACTAATCTCAACCAAAGCAATGCAATTTCTAAGTATTAATCTCTCAAGTGCAGGGAGTTGGTCAAAGTCACCAAGAATACGAAGTTGTGTACAAAAACTTAAATTAAGAATCTTCAATGATCCAAGCAACATTTTATCTTTTAAGCATGACCCATCCAACTACATAAATAGAAATAACTTAGAATGGTAGAAAATTTCATCAACTCGACATGGAACAATGATAAATGAAGATAAGTTACCTTTTGCCTCTTCTCAAGTCGGTCTGGATTACTATAACAATTGAAAAATGATTCAATATTGCTATATGACATATCAAGAGCAACAAGATTCTCCATAGGCAAGTCTGAAGGTATAGACTTCAAATGAAACCCATGCATACACAAGCCTCTTAATTCCTTCGGAAAGTTCTCATAAGACCCATTCATGTGCACATAATTGAGTTGTAACAGCATCAGACTATCCATGCTACTCAATGCATCTGTTTTCAGCTCAATTGATCCACCCAACTTCTCTTTCTCAAGCATACGCATGTCAAGGGCAAGGCCTATAATATTTCCCTTTCCCTAAGAAGAAACAAAATGCGGATAAAAAAATTAGACAATACAAATTATTTTGGACATGTACACTACTAAATGCATACACGCCTATTTACCTTTTTTTGTTTTAACACTCTGAATGACTCTTTATGACACCATAATCGACTTCGCTTCCATGGCTTGTTAAGTGATTCTCGACGTACTTCGAATCTTCCCATCTCTTGAACCAGCTGGTGCATCTTCAATTCGTTCTTCCATCCAATACTAAGAAGGCATCTGTCAGTGAGATTTGTGATCCCGGATCTTGTGTTTATATCACATGCCTCTAATATTGTTTTAGTAACATCTCTACCTATTCCAACAAAAAAACAAGCAATATGCTTAAACAATTCCTTATCATTTTCGGATGGTAAAGAATCAAAGCTCATTTTTAAGACATTATTTATATGAGAATTTGTTTCTTTCTTAAGCACTTCTATGCACCCTTCCCAGTAAGCTACATCTCGATTATGTAGAGACTTGCCCAAAACTTCAAGAGCCAATGGATGCCCTTGGCAATACTTCACAAGCTTATCTGACACCTCTTCATAACCCACCTTGGGATGATTGCACACGAATGCATGGTAACACAAAAGTTGTTGTGAATCAATCTCATCTAAGCCTCGAAGCACAAGACTTTCATACTTGGGTTTAATGTATGTTTTGAATAGTGCACAACTCTGCGTCAACCATGCATCCTTTGTTGTTATAATGACTTTGCTCCCCGGGTGAAAACCTTTGCTTCCAAGTAATGCATCCAACTGATGAAGAGTACTAACATCATCAAGTACTAAAAATACCCTTTTACGAGCTAATTCATTCTCAATCCTTGAGGTGTATACTGAAACATCATGAACTTTAATTGAACTTGTTTTTGAAATGTCACTGCAGAGTTGTTCTTGTAAATCAAGCAATCCATTATACTTTCTATCACATTTCCTACTGATATCTTCAATATAGCTGCTTCTGTCGAATTCATGCCAACATAGCCTATAGACATGTTTTGCTAAAGATGTCTTCCCGATCCCGCCAATACCCGAAATAGTGAGTATGTCTGCCGTATGTGAGGATCCATCTTTCAACCATGAAGTCACGAAGTTAATAGAATATCCCATCCCAATAAGTAGCGGCTGAGTAGTCCATAAGGTTACATGTAATCTACGGTGGATGCTCTTCACAATTTCTTCAATAAACTCAGTCTCTATCCTGAAACTTGATTTAATAAGAATTACAAAATACAATCCACAAACTAAAACTAGATTTGGAGATTTTTTTTATCCAAAGATCCAAATCAAAATTATATCATAGCTATTAATTTTAATTAAGTTCTTCACATTAAAACCATATTGTGTTTTCACTTCTAACCATACAAGTATCTAATGTGTAAGGTCATAAATAATTATGTATAATAACACCAAAGCTACTAATGTAATACCAGATTTTACTAACAGTCCACCTAAATAGACCATCAACCTTAGCTATCATTGTGGTGCGTTTGAAAAAGGTTATCCTTTACTACTTACAAGTGAGAGCAGCTACTTATCATAAAGAGATGCTATGACTTGTAGGTAGTATGGTATAATTAACAGTAGACACATAGCAAACAACTCAAATTTGGTTTCCAATGGAACAATATAAAAATAAATAAAATGGTTAAACTAAATGGACTAACTTATGATAAAATACTGAACTCATAACAAATGTGTAAAATATATCAAAATGGTTAATCTATATGTATATGAACTGAATGAGTGATCACATAATTGAAAACATACATTCAACTTTATGCATCTTTTTTATCCTTATACATCAAATATTATGAAAATTTAGAGATTTTTTTTGGGAAAAAGATGTGTCTTCTCTTTGAGAAAAATCTTGAATATATACTCAATACACAAGTTAATTACCAGTCTAAATTATAGATTTCTAGCCTATAAGTCAGCTTACTAAATTATCTACAATTATTGACAATAAAAGCATGTGATAGCAAAGATATTGTGCTGATTAATCTGAAGCATAAAATCAACATGAAATTTGCAAGTAATATCTTTGACAGCCCCCTCAAACTGATGTTGGTAAATTCAAAAGCATCAACTTGATAACAAGAAAATTATGTCGTTGTCTTGCCAAAGATTTGGTGAAGATATATGCGATCTCCATAATGGTGGAGACGTATGGAAGGCTGTTACTCGATAATCGTATTTTTGTCTAATGAAGTGGGAGTCAATTTCGATATGTTTTGTGCACTCATGATAAATAGGATTGGCAGCTATTAGGATGACACTTGTGTTGTCTACATGTAATGGAATTGGTTGAACTTGATGAAAGCCGAGTTTTGTAAGGAGGCCATGTAACCATATAACCTCAACACATGCTGCAGACATGACGCGATACTGTGACTCAGTAGATGACTTTAACACATAGTTTTGTTTTTTGCATTTCCATGAGATGAGAGCATCACCAAGGAACATACACCATCGAGGTAGATTTCCCTAGCCTCCCCAATCCACATCACTATAAGCTTGTAGTTGTAGCGAAGATCCTATAGAAAAGAATAGGCAATGATTAAGTGTCTCAAGGATTGAACGAATGATGCATTTGACTGCACTTAGGTGGATTTGTCGAGGAGAATGCATGAATGTGCTTACGGTATGAACTACAAAAGAGATATCGAGTCGAGGAATGGTTAGATAGATTAGATAACCAACCAACTTCCGATATAGAGTAGGATTCTCAAGAAGTTTTCTCTCGTTTCGATGATATTTTACATTACTTCCCATTTGGGTATCAATAGGATGACTTCCTGTGAGTCCAGCTAGCTCAACCAGATCTTGAATGTACTTGTATTGATTCACAAAAATCCTTTTTTGTCGATGATACACCTCTAACCCCAAGAAGTAATTCAGAGGGCCAAGGTCTTATGAAATGTTGAATGCAACAATTTTTTTAATCTTAATGAAAGTTACCATATCATAACAGTGACAATAATATCATCTACGTAAACAAGAAGAATAACTCTTCCCTTTGATGTCTTTTGAAGAAAAAGGGACAAGTCATATTGGATTTGAACAAATGAAAAACCAAGAAGAATATATCAAAACTTCTTAAACCATACTCTTGGTGCATGTTTCAAACCATATAGGGATCGTTTTAGTTTAAGAAGTTTTATATAAATTTCTTCTTTCAAATCCCTATGTAAAAATGCATTCTTGACGTCCATTTGAAGTAAAGGCCTTATCTGAGAGGGAGCAAGGGCCAATATGGCCCGTACATTAGTCATCTTGGCTACCTATGCAAATGATTCATCATAGTCTAAGCCATACTCTTGTTTGTTCGGAAGAACTACTAGACTAGCCTTGTAAGTGGAAAAGAAATAATGATGATCTACAAAGATAACATTTTCGGAAACCCGAATACGTCGCACTTCAGGATCATAACAAAGAAAACCTTTATGGTGAGTGGAATAACGTAGAAAATCACATTGGACAGATTGAGATGTTAGTTTTGTACGTTCATGTGTAGCATACATAACCAAAGGTACAAAGATTAAAATAATTCAGGTTGCAACCAAATAATCAAGTAAGAGGAGAGAGATGGTTCAACGAGGGAGAAGGAAATCTGTTAATAAGGTGTGTAACTGTAGAAAAAGCTACACACTAAAACCTAGCAAGATGTGTAACTGTAGAAAAAGCTTCACACCAAAACCTAGCAGGCACAAATGACTCTAAGAGAAGCATACAGACAACATCAAGAAGGTGATCAATTTTTCTTTTCCCACCCCATTTTGTTGAGGTGTTGAAGGATATGATCGATGAGAAATTATGCCATTTTCTTGTAAGAATTCTTGAAAAATATGAGACATGTATTCTCCCCTATTGTCTGATCGGAGAATTTTAATTCGAGCTGAAAATTTGGTTTGAACCTAAGCATGGAACAACTTGAAAACTAAAAGCACTTCATCTTTAGAACACATGAAATAAATCCAGGTGAAACGCTTGTAATCGTCGATAAAGGTAACGAAGTATTTACAATTCGCATGGGAAGTAACTAGTGTCATATCCAAAAACATCACTATGTGTCAAATTAAAAGGTCGAGTTACGTTGGGTGAATGAGTTGGAAAAGGTAGATTTTTTCTTTTGCCGAGTTTACAAGAACTACATTCAAATTGATTATTCTCAAAAGATGGCGCTTTTTATTTCCTAACAACCCATATTTCAATAAATCAAAAAGAACAAGTTTATTTGGATGTTCAAGCCGCTTGTGCCATGTTTGGTAATCAACATGAGCAAAATTACAAGCAACATAAGGCAGCATTGGATATGAAGAAAAAAGAGAATCAAGACAAAAAAGACATCCAACCTTAGCCCCCCTCGCAATCATCTTTCCTAACTATTGATCCTGTACAATACAACCAAACTTAGAGAATTCCACTTTGTAATCAATATCAACGAGTTGACCAACAAAAATAAGATTAGTAGTAAGGACAGCTGGAGAGACAAAAAAACATTTTTTTACAGAAGCCAAGATGTCATAGTAGATGTGATAGTAGTTGTGAATACCATCAGCGGTATGGATTTGAAGATTCCCAGTGTATTTCTTTAGGTTGTTAAGAGAATGAGAAGAACTTGTCATATGGTTAGAGGCTGCAGAGTCAAAATACCATGTAGGTGAGAAATTTATCGGATATTCCTAAGGCAGAAAATGCAGAAATAATCATTAGCTGAATCATTTTAGGAGTTACAGGTTTTGCTGTAAGGGCATTTTGTGTTGCATGAACTGTATTCGCAGAACCACCAACACCTGAAGACCCAACTGATGCATTATATGATGTTTCTGATATTTTAAGAGGCCCGATACGGCATTCCTTGATAATATGGCCATCCTTTTTGGAGTCGTTGCAGAACTTCTTTCAACAATCTGAAGCGTAATTTCCAATTCTTTGCAACAAAAGCATTGAAGTGTGCGCATATCCCTACCTGTTGGCTTACCATATGTTGCATAAGCCATATGGGCCATCATGGATCTCTGTTTGTCCAAGTAATTTTTAGTGAGAAGACGTTCTTCTCGAAATAAATCTTCAAGGCATGCATCCAAAGAAGGAATCAGGTCTCGATTCATAAGATTGGATCTAGCAGTTTCAAAATCTGATCAGAGCTTCATAAGGAATTGATAGCTTTTAGTAGTTTCATGCACAGCTTGAACATAACTAAGACCTTCTGGAGGCAAAGTGGCATAAACAAAATATCTGTGTATTCAGCTCAAAGATTCATGAAGCGAGAGTAAAAATCATAGATGGAAAGAATATCCTTTTGAAGGGAAGCGAATTCGTGTTCTAATTAAAATCGTCGAGCAATGTTCTAACTATATAGTTTCTTCAAGTGTTCCCACATCTAGGCTGCAGTCTTAACCAGATGATGTAACATGATATTGGATTCTAAGGAACAATGATCCATGCCATTATTGGGCACCCTTGATCTCCCATTTGGCATGTTCGGTCTTGTATTTTTCTTTGTCAAGAGTGGGAAGTGGAGTCTTGCCATCAATGTGGCCCTCTATGTCCTACCCTTTGACAAAAATCTAGAAATGAAATGCTAATGATGAAATGCCAATGATGAGTAGTTTTTCCCATTAAGGCGAACCAAGAAAGCATCACATTTGTCTGAGGACATGGTAATCATGAAGCTATGAGAACTCGATCAAGAACTAAGAGCAAGATATTAAACTAGGATTGAGTGAGGAAAAAAAACTAGACACTTATCATAATTAACAATATACATGTCTATTTGATGATACTAAAGAAACTTTACTGAAATGCATGATGAGGAGATGGTATTGACTTTTCACGTGTTAATCAAAGTCAAACAAAATTAAAGACATAAAAAAAGGAAAGAAAGTAGTTACCTTCCATTTACGTCATTTCCTTTTAAATTGGCAACTTCGATAAGGGCTTTATGCCATCGGTCCATCTTTTGAGCCCATAAACTTCTTTTATTTGCATTTGTCTCTGCCTCCATCATTTGTTTATGCTTAGCCATTGCCTCTCCAAAGGTACTTTGTTGCTTCCTGACATGTGTGGGCTCAACATGATAAAAGATGGGGATGACAATATGGTTGGATGTCATACGCTGCTCAAGGATCAGCACCAATTCATCAAGGCACCATGTTGAAGTAGCATAATTCTTAGACAATACAATAATAGAAGCCCGAGATGCCTTAATTGCACTCTCTAATTCCGGTCTCAGATCTTCCCCTGTTTCAATCTCTTCATCATCCAAGAAGGTACTGATATTGGCTTCAATGAGGGCCTTATAAAGGTGATTAGTGAAACTATGGCGCGTGTCAACACCTCTAAAACTTAAAAATACATCATATCTATGATCATGAATTGGTGAACTTTGGGCAGGAGCTGATGAACTATAACCCTGAGTTGATGATGAAGATGAAGATCCTTCTGAAAGTTCAGATAGAATAACCATTATGATTTATGGGTTGATGACACTTCACCCTTCTCATTAAACTCTCAAACTCCTCCACACGTTATCACTACTGGAAATTGGTTTCACCGAGTTTCTTCACTTGTGATTTTATGTCAGGATCCCGTACAAAATGCCTCTAAATAATAGCAAATTATTAATTACAATATGCAACTTAAATCTCATGAAAGAATTTAAACGTAAGCTGCTAGCTATTTGTTGATGTGTTTGAAATACAAAGAGAGGCAGCTGTGTTTTCTTATTTCAAGCATAAATAGGCTAATAAATCTATGTAACCATTACATTGTCAAGGAAACTATTTAAAAAGCAATTACTCACTCAATTGAATTGCTTGACCTGTTTTTCCAGCTAAGTTAGGGTGCCAAAAAAGTATCAAACCAATTTATTCATTTAACCTACAACATATGTATTTTGATTTGATTACCCGATATAAACATCCCTATTATTGTCCAAGTAAAATCCATTTAAATTTTAGTAAACTAATCCTCAAACAAATAAATACCAAATACCATTCTCGAAACAACTACAAGATCCACTACTACCTCCCATGAAAGAAATTGTAAATTTGCAATACATAATTACATATAGGCAATTTCAAGCTTTTAGTAGATATCAACAAACAATTAAGAGATCTAAACACAAAAATGAAAAAAAAACAAGTTTCTTGACATGCTTAATTATAGATCCCCAAAATTAGCAACAACAATCTTTTCAAATTTGAATTTCTCTATCACTGGATCTATAAGCATAATCTAAAGGATTTATGAAACTAACAAGTTGTGCCCTTGCTAAGGGTCCAATTTCAAACTCTATACTAAATGGAACTTCAAAGGTAAATGCACTTTATGCAAAAGCATATAGATATAATTGAGTTTTGATTTCAATGGTAAGTGAAACTATACTCGTTACGGAAATTGAATATTGAAGGTTGTTCATTATGAGGGTCTACCTTACCATTAGAAAATATGAAGGAATTGAGGAAGCAATTGTCGAGTATTGAAGAATTTCCCAATATGCATGAAGTTTTGTTTAATGTTCATCATTTTGTACTTTAAGCTAGAAATCCTAATTGATATATAAAATTAAACAAAAGTAATTCCACAGCTAAAGGGGGATTGACTCGGTATTGGAAGCTTGAAGGCTCAAAATCTTGCCCACTGGGCAAATGGTAATGGCGATCTCCATCCAAAAAAGATAGCATATGGAAGGAGGTCATTATCTCAATTTATAGCAACAATGGAAAATGGGCTAAATGCAACAAACACAAGGCTAGAAAATAGTTCTTTGACCGAGTAGGTGTTGTTGAGAAAATGAGTGTTTTCTCTGAGGCGACAACTTTATTGTCATATGTCTGGATTATCTGGAACTTCCATAACCTCAGAGTTCACTCGAATGACCTCAAAACCCATGGCCACACTACTTTAGCTAATGAGATTTAAGAACTATCATATCTTGGATAAATGGCCCAAGGAGGAAAGGGAGAAGTTTACAACGGTTTGATTGGTGCAGGACCCCATATCAAAATGTAGCTTATGTTTCTAATTGCCTTCATTCTGCCTGTTTCTGTTTTTGTTCATATTTCCTGATTTCGTTTTTTCCTTTTGTATACTAGCTTCTAGCTAGTTTCTTCATTAATGATGAAATTCCAAAAAAACTATTGAGGCAAATTCCAAAAGCGCAAATCTTAAAAATAAAGATATTTATTAGGGAAAATTCCAAGAAAAGTATTTGTTTGACAAATTCCAAAAACTGTAACGAATTGATGCAAATTCCAAAAAAAAAAAGTAATGATATTTGTTTGTTAAATTCCAAAAATTATTGACGCAAATTCCAAACTGAAAAAGTACAAATCCATATGTTTGGCAATTTCCAAGAAAGAAACAATATTCGTTTGGTAAATTCCAAGAAAGTAAGATATTTATTGAGACAAAATTCAAGAAAAATAAAATTACGGAAACAGGCACCACTTCAAAATGTAACAAAACCCTACTAAAATTAAAACGCAAGCTAAGGATCTAATAACATAGACACAGATTAAACTAAAAGAAACGATATTAATTCAGCAAAATAAGAAGGCACTTTTCAGGAACAGGAAAAATGACTTCAGTTGAACCCAAATTACACAAAAGTCGGTAAGGAAATAGAGGAAATCTATGGAGGAAAGAGTAACCTTTGTAAACGATAACGATCAGCTGGGTGTTGAAGAAAGAAAAAGCAGAGATGGTGAAAGCATTGCGAGATGAGGCTAGAAATGCAGACCTACGTTTTTTACCACACGAAGTTGGAGGTTGGTGAGATCACTGATCAGGGTGCACAGGGAAGGGATTTGGTGATGGTGGGTTTGCCGGGGAGATGTGGAGGTGAGGTCGAGGTATAGAGATGAAGGTTGGAGATGGCTTGAGCTTGAAGATGACACTGCAGGTGTTGGTAGTGGGGCGAAAAGCAAAAGCTTGTTCCACTTTGTTTTTGTGACTTTTGTTTGCCTGGGGGGTACTAATTTGGGATCGGTACTAAAAATTAGAGGGTTAACGACGTGGAAAGGTGAGGAATTTTCGTCTTTATCTATATTTGGTAATATGTTTTTTTCTGATAAATTTGATCATTGGACAATGTTTTCATACACATTTAACCGGTATTTTTATTTCACTACAAGAAACTATGTCTTTAGCGGTGACATAATTACCGGCGACAAGGCCTTTTAGCGGCAACTCTACCATTTGTCGCCGCTAAAAGTCATAGTTGCCGGTAATTGTGTCGCCGCTAAAGGCTTCTCACCCGAATCTGTGTTTTCCCCCTTTGATAGATCTCAGCCGCTCGATCGAGTATCTAATCCAACGGTTGGGGCCTCTTATCCGCACAAACCTAATAACGGCGACATTCGTGTCGCCGCTAAAAGTCTAAAAAGTCGCCACTAATAGTGGTCTAAAAAAAGACGCGGTACCCTTCCCTCCAGATAGTCGCCGTTGTTGATTAGTGTCGCCGGTAAAGACCAAATTTTCGCCGCTAAAAGCTATTGCAGATAAAAAAGAAAAACGGATGCATTCTGCTCTTTTGCTTCCTGTTTTCCATCTGTTTTGCTTCTGCTTCCTGTGACGCTGCTGCTCTTTCGATCGGTGCCCCATTTTGCTATCATTCCTTGATTCCATCAAGATATCTCCTCACATTGCACTACAAATAAAATGACATATAGTGGCACATATTTTTAGTGGCATATGGTTAATGTGCCACTATATCATGGTTTTTAGTGGCACTTATTATATGTCACTAAAAAATTAATACATTTAATGGCACTTAATCTTTTGTGTCACTAAATTTCATAGTTATTAGTGGCATAATGACTTGATATACCACTAAAACTTTTTTTTATTGAAAATACCGTATAGATAATTCTTATAATAACTTAAAATTTTAATTATAACATTAACAATTTATTTTATATTTCTCATTTAAAACTGGTAATACATATTTATGGAAATTTATTATAATTATTAATTGATTTGTGAGTTTTTACAAAAAAAAAAAAAAAAAAAAATTGGGAATCAAGTGTTAATTTACATTTCCATGGGAAGAATGTGTTGAATTAATGGATGTCCAGATAACCTTGAACTCGTGTAATGTGCTCGAAGCCTAACATCTTTTAAGTACAAATCGTTGCAATTTTCTTATTTTTGTACTCAAAAAATTTGTTAATAACAATTTCTGGAGGAGGTGCCTCCTTTTCTTTTTCAAAAAATTAAATATTTGAAGGGCCTCATTTTTTTGTCCGATGCATACTTCTTTACCTCTGCTAACGATGTAAAAACAATTCATATTTCCAATTTCAATGGTCCGATCTACTTCAAACGATAAAGAGTCTGCATCATATTCTTGCAGAATAATCTGAACGCACCATCACCACGCTCTCTTCGTCGATGCCGGACCAACACGCTGTCCTCGGCCTGTGTGTCGCTGCTTTCGCGATCGTCGTTGCTTCCGCAATTGCCACCGCTTCCTCGATCGCCACCGCTGCATCCTCAATCTCACGGTTAGGTATTTTTTTATTCTCAAATAACGTACTTACAAATTTTATTTGTTAGTGAATTGGAAGTTGTATACTGCTCGATTTGTTGCATAATCATTACCCAAACTTCTATGGTTTATCAAATTTGAATGATGGATCTTTTGCTATCTGTTCAGCTAATTCCTTAATGCTAGGGTCCTGTAAAAAAAATTATCCACTCATCCTTCTGGAGCTTGTCAAACTTTTCTTCTTTTAATGTGTAAGAATGCCATCTGGAAATAACTAGACCTGTAGGACACCTTTCTAACATTTGTACATTAGAGTATCAAATGTACTGAATGCACTTAGAGGCTTTCTATGCTCCCTAAAATTCAATGTTGATAATGAGGTCCTATTGCCTTGTTGTAATTTCCATGATGCAACACAACACCCGATTAAATTGGAGTCTAATCTTTGCCATTTTATAGAAGGGAAATTGTAGGAATTAGAGAATTCCATAGTTATTTGCAATCAAACTTTGGAATGGAATTAAATTTCAATTTCAGCCAACTTCATAATTAAAATATCCTTCATATTTGCCTATTTGAAATTGCACAGTCATTTTAGAGAAGAATCAAGTTGGGGGAAACTGTGATTCCATTCCCACTAACATTACCATCACTAAAGCCTCTTTTCTTGTGATCCAATTATTTTTACCATATAGTTAGTAATCAAATAATCAATAGAAATAAATAATAAAGGATATTAAGAGATAACAGATAGGTTACCTGAAGCAATAGATATAGTTAAAAAAGATGATTTATCTTCCACCAACTTTGTTGGAGAATCATATTCATCAATCCGACCTTGTTCTAGAACCAAAATCATGTCACTATGAAGCACAAAAGTGATACGATGAGCAATCATTATCACTGTGGAATCTGTAAAGTGTTGTGCAAGTGTTTGCTGAATCATTCCATCAGTTGTTGTGTCAACTGATGCAGTAGCCTCATCAAGAACCAAGACTTTGGTTTTCTTGAGTAGCACACGCCTTAGACACACCAGTTGCCTTTGACCCACACTCCAGTTTTCTCCATTCTCAGTCACTATAATATTTTGTTATAAAAACTATTAGTTAGATACATTGAGTCCAAGATTTTAGCTCCTTACTTCATCTCCATGTTGGCACTTATCAAGAGCCTGAAGTAACAAACATGGTTACATTCTACTCGTTCTAGCATTACAAACTGTTTGATTGCAGTGAAATTTATATTTATAGTTTTGCTACCTCCCAAATCTTATCATCTATATACTCTTCAAGGGGATCCAAGTTGCTTCGAATAGTTCCTTCAAACATGGTAGGATCTTGAGGAATTATGCTCAACTTTGAACGAAGATCAAGGAGTCCGATTGTTGATATGTTAATTCCATCTATGAGAATCTCTCCAGCTGCGGGGTCCACGAGGTGGAAGAGTGTTTTTTTGTGTGCTTCTTGTCTTGTTACAAGTTTATAACTGATTCCATCCATTCCACCTGTACAATACAAATGGAATGGAATTGAATTCCATGGAAAAACAGAATGTGATGTAATTTTTTTTATTCTTATTGCTGACCTGTTTGATCTATAGAGAAGAGTGACAGGTGGCGATCCCTTAAGACTGCTAAAATATATTTGCCATCATGTGAGAATTCCATCCGAGTGACTGTTAAGATGTGAGACTGTAATCTTCGAACTGCTTTCCAACTACCAACTTCCCATAGCCATATTTCTGCCACTGAAGCCAATTGAGCCTTCTGCTTTGAGACTGTAACCACATTCACCCAAATACCTGTTGTTCTTTCAGGTTACCATATCATCATAGTTTTGTCCATTGATGCAGATAATAAGCTTTGAGGTTGATAACATGATAAAGAAGGTGGTTGTCATTCGATTAAATATACCCAATCTTCATGACCAATGAGAAGAGATTCTAAAGACACTTGATAAGATAAAGAACCGGATACAAATACAAGCCCTTTTATGTAATAAGCCAAGCTGTTTTCTGCTTTCTTTTTGTCTAGATTTCATAAAGATATTTCCCATGCTCATGTTTCAATTTCCAAGAAGCATTCTCATCCTTCTGCTTTCATCATTAGCAGATTGTGATGTCATGTTTTGTTGTGCCAATAAAAACTGTTAGTTGATGCTGTGGTGTTAGCATTTGTAGCTGATGAAGAGGCTGGGAACCCTGCATGTATGGCTTCTATTGATGCAGTAGAGCAGACCACAGATGCTGAAAAATTGATGCACTTTTTCTTTATGTGTATATTTATATGCATGTGTCTATGTATTATATGTATATATTTGTATGCATGTACTTATATGTTGTGGTGTTATAGGAGGATGGGTAGGCGTAAGAAGCTATGAATCACCTCAACTAATATCCCTATTGACAATGAGATACATGATTAAAGTTCTGAGTTTTCTGCAACTGATATCCCTACTGAAGGAGATCAATCAGGTCATCCACAAACTACTGAAGGAGGCCAGTCTACTGCTGAAGAACACAACTCTACTGAAGCAGGTTAATCAGGTATGTCAATGACATATGTTACATATATTTTTTCAAGTATTTCATGTTCTTTTTTACTTTTTCATTTACAATTTCAATTTATAGTAATTTCCTTTCTGTGTAAACAACCCTTACTCTGTTGATTGATACTATTATTGCATATTTTCATATCTATTGATGAAAACTATCATATTATCACTCTATTGCTAATTTTGGTTAACTTTACTAATTTTTTTATTAAGTGCTCAAAAGAAGGTAAGGGGTTATACCCAAAAGACTGAGATATGGAACATGAGTAGCTCCCAAAAAATAGTAGTGACATTTAATAGGTTCGGAAAACCGGTAGGAGATGAAGGAAATGAACTCGTACAATACCTTAGGACCCTTGTGAGTATGGCTAATCATGTCGGAATAGATTATGATGATTGAAGGAAGATCCCTATACAAAAGAAAGAAGATATGTATTCTATGGTTAAGGTGCATATCTATTAACCAAAATTATGGTGTATTTATATTTACATGTAAGCTTTATTTGTAGGCCAAGTTTGTTATTCATCCGGCTGAAACAAGTGAAATGAAGAAATGGATCCTTTTTAGCACGGGGAAAAATGGAGGACTTGGAAAGGTTCACTAAAGGCACGTACATATGATTCAAGTCTTACAATCGATCAAATTGTGGCACAAGAAACTGAGAAAGATAATAGGGTGAACCCAACTCAGTTTAAAAAACTTGTTACTCAATGGTTTACTCTAGAATATCAGGTAATATATTTAGTTTCTTACATAAACTAAGGAATTTATCCTATCAATCATTAGCTGCCATTAATAGCCTAGCATGATTTTTATTCATTGAATCCCTACTTTCACCTCTTAGTTAAAACAATTTTACACTAAAAATAGAAAGTACATTGCTATTGTGGGTAAAATATAAAGTAAATTAATGGAAAATGATTAAAAAAAGTTAGTTACCTTTAATGGCCTAGCATGCTGATGAGTTATGAAAAACTCTTTGATCGATTAGATCTTTGTAACAGGTAAATAAAGAACGTAAAAACAATGAAATAAAACACAAGTATGGATCTAAATGAGTCGAATGATTCGATTAACTCAATCCTCAGCAGAGCTTGATTAAAAACTTCCGCTGTAGAGGATTCTAGGGTTACAAAACAAGAACGATGAATATGCTGAAATTATTATCTAATCGTTACGTTCTAAGATGCATGCAAGCATCTATTTATAATAAACCCTACATAAAACTCACGGATGGACAGACCCATACCGGAGACAAAACTTGGACTAGCTAACGAACCCAATGACGCAACACTAAACTGGGCCTAAGAATCTCCCCCTTTGCGTCAATTTGGAGCGAGACTATCATTTCTTCTTGCTTGGACCAGCCGCAGGAACCTTCTTTGTTGTATCAAACAGACGAGGGATAATCGCGAGATGTTTGTCAGCCAAAGCGAAAAGGCATTTCTGGCCTTCGTTTCTGGTAAACATAACGGAGTTTTTCTTTGGGTCTATCTTCCCCATCTGCATCATGTTGAGATCACTGGCAGAGCCAACAGGAGATATGGTAGGCTTTTTCTTGAATACGCTCGCTATCTCCTGATCCATCTGGGCAACTTCCATGACATAACAGACAAGCATCCTCTTGAAGTGGTCAATGATCGGACCATATTCTGCTTCATTTGTAAGAAGGATGTTGTGCAAAATGATCCAGTCATGTGGATTTAAGTTAGGAATATCCGCAAGCGAGATGGCATGTTCGGTCTTGGCAGATACCCGCAGTACCTTGAACCGAACATTGGTGAAGTTTCCTTCCCTATACGGCTTCAGAACCCGAACATTGATAATCTTCTGAGCGCTCCATGTTTGGTACTTTGGTTGAGCGGCCCTCAGATAGAACTCGACTAAGTCCCTGTCAACCTTGGGATGAGGATGAGGGAACTCAACAATGTTATCAAAGGCATGAAAAATGAACACCTTTCGGGTCAGTGGCATATCGAACTAAGAGTCGATAGTATTAGAACGATCTAAAGAGATCACCGGTTCTAGCCACAAGATGTTGGGTGTTTCAATGGCTTCTTTCAGCAGCTTCTCAAGAGTCCAAAGAGGAAAAAGAGTTTTCCTGCTCTCGAGAAGGTCGTGAGCTTCCTTTTGTCTTCTTTCAGCTTCTTTAGCCTCTCTAGCCACACGAGCGCTGATGTCAGCATCTTTATCACGACCTTGCTTCTTTAGAAGGTCGGCAATGGTCTCCTTATCATCATCGCTCTCCTCAGCAATTTTCTTGCCCTTGTCTTTGACACCCAAACCTGAGGCTTGGCCTGTAAAAGGAGGTTCGGTTGTTTTGGTTGCTGTTGAAGAAGGAGGCGGTTGAGACACATTTTCATTATCTCCCCTTGTTTCGGAATGGACACGAAATCAAGGAGCCCTTCAATTTTGCTCAGGAGAGAGAGGGCGGGAGCAAGCTTTTCTGCAAGACTACGCCTCACAGAAAAATTAAGTATCGGGTCATGCGCTTCCAGGATGTTTGAAATGGCTGAGTGGACATCCGAAACACACGATGAAATCATCTCTCTTTCAGATCGAAGAGACTCAACCTCCTTTTGAGAATTGGAGTGTTGAATGCTCTTGACCTTAAGAGCGGTGGTCTTCCTAGCGAGAGCGTCCATGAGGGAGTTCTCAGTAGCTAGGTCTTCTTGAAGCTTGGTCAACCGTTCCTCAATCGTCGCCTGAAACGCTGAGTTGTCGTCTGAGAGAGTCTGACGAAGAGAAGCGAAAGATTTCAGTTCTGATGCAACGGAGGTAGCCAGCTGGTTGACAATGGGTTCCAGCTTTGTTTTGGTGGCTTCGGCAGATTCCTGTAAAGATTGTAACAGGGAAGAAGCATCAGTAAATAGTTTATCAACTTTTTCGGTCGCTGCCTCACAGGATTTGGTTGAGGCATCAATGGCTGCAGTAGCGGTGTCGAGAGAAACTTGATGAGCTTTGGAAAAAGCATCAACAATCTTCTGAATGGCAGCCTCAGAGATGGTAGACTGGGATGAGGAAGAGGAGGCAATGAGCGAATCTATCTTTTCGTGAAGCTCCTTGAGATGCTTCTTTGTGACGGGAGCATCATCATCGTCATCACTCTGTACCTGATACGGACTATAATAGACCGAATCGAAGGTCATGTTCTCTCCGCTAAGGAATGGTTCACTCTCTGTCGGGCGAGCAGGAGATGAGGGTGGAGGCTCGGTAGTGAAGGTAGGTTCGGGTTGAGATGTGTTTTCGGTAGTGGTAGTGGGAGTGGGTTCGGGTGCGTCAGTATGAGCCCCCGTATCAGATACGTTGGTTCTTACTTTGGCAGTTGTGGTGGTTGCTTCTGTAAAGATGGGAGGGGGTACTGGAATGGAAGTAGGTGGTATTGGAGTGGTGGAAGTTATGGGGGGAATAGAAATAGGAATGGTAACTGGTGGAGAAGAGATAGGTGAATTAGGAAAGTGAGCTTCTGGGGTAGGGGATCGTGGAGGAGTGTTACCACGAGGAGACTCGTCAGAGTCAGAACTCTCTTCCTCAGATTCGCTTGAGGAGGAAGCGATTATCAACTTTCGCCTTGGTTGGGTTTTTCTCTTCTTTGGCGGAGGGGATTGAACTGCCCTGGTGGGTTTACGTTTCTTGGGAGAAGGCCCTTTCGCTCCCTTTGCCACCTGTTTGTCTTTGCCCTTGTCAGTCTTCTTTCCTCTTGGAGCAGGCTTGTCACCCTCATGAATAGACTTGAGCATCTCAGGAGTAAGCTCTCTAGGACCAGATTGACAAAACTCCTTGTAGGTTTTAAGGATCCGGCTGTCGGCTGGAACGTCGCCATACATCGATTCAGGGATTGAACCGATGAATTGAAATTTGGAAGCATCTGAGACAATGATCTTCATGGTATGGAAAGTACCAATCGAAGACATTGGAGTACCAGCGACAATGGGGATGTGGTACTTGTCCATCACCCATTTAGTAACGAGAGTCCAGAAACGAGCATATGAAATCTCGGAATGCCGAGATGCAGAAGATAGACTCTGAATAAGTGTTGCCATAGGACCGACCCGTAGTCCAAATTGATACCATTGTAGATCCCGTAGAGAATTACTCCATCCGAGATGAACAACCGACTTGCTCCATCCGATCCAGCACTGCGTTCAGACAGCCCCTTGAACAGCACTGTAAACAACCCATTCCACTAAGGAGGCAGGCACGATTTCTTGAACTTCGTGACCATTGTGAGCACCTCAGTATACCCCATGTTGTAGAACATTGAAAACAGATGACCCATTGGAATGGTTTCAGGGTTAACCCTATACAAATCAGGTTCAAACCCTAATAACGAGCAGAATCTCTG